ACGCTCACACCCCAGAGCCACAGAACAGGCTGAATTGCAGGGAAGCAACTGAGTGTAGTAAAAACCTCGTGCTCCAGGGTCAGTTTATGCCATTAACTGAGCAAGTTCATGATGGCTCCCGTTGTTAAAACAGAAAAATAAGTGATGCCAGGTGCCACGCCCCTGAGGATGAGAACACGACCCCAGCGCACAGAAGCCCTGGCACACAGCCATGTCATCACTTTCCTTTCTGCTGCTGCTCGGCAACTCTTCAACATTTGAAAGTTCTGTTCTGTTTCCTCCAAACCTTCTCTCATCCAGGGTAAACATCACTACCTCTTTAACTGTGACTCTCAGGGTATGCTTTCAAGAGCCTTTGCCATCTAGAATTCATTCTGCTTATCAATGCGGTTTCTTCTGTTCCTTTTTCCAGTTCTAGGTTTTTACATCACCCATGTTAGTTTAGGGACAAGCCATGCCAAAAGTGTCCTCTGTGTGAGCAGAGGGTGGGGAGTACCTGGCGAGGAGACCCCTCCCTACGGGAGGCTGGTGCCAACCACACCCTCCAAAGGCCCAGGGGAACTTCTGGAGCCTCTTCAGCCCCAACCATCAGGTCAGTGGGATGGTTCCCTGCACTTGCCGGCCAGCACATGGGAGAATTTTCTAGGAGCTTGGCTCCCCTTTAACTTCCTCTCCTCACCAGGGCTAAGGAAGTGCTGGCGAGAGCCCGGATAGGTCTGGGTAGTGCAGGGTGTGGCCCTCCTAAGTTACTAGCTTGTCTCGGTCAGCGGAGCAGAACACCACGGCCTGGGGGGCTCATGCACCAAGTACTTATTTCTCACAATTCTGAAGGCTGGGGAGTCCAAGATCAAGGTGCTGGCAGCTCTAGTGTCTGGTAAGGGCTTCCTGGTTCATAGATGGCCCTCTCCTCACATGTCCTCACGTGGTGGAAGGGGCAAGGGAGCTCCCTGGAATCTCTTTCATCAGGGCGCTAATCTCACTGATGAGGGCCCCCCTCATCATGACCTAAAGCCAAGGCCCCACCTCCTGATACCATCACACTGGGGGTTAGGAATTCAACATGGGAATTTTGCCCATAACACAGTCCTCCACTTGTTAACCCTACCTGCCAAGGAGGGCAGTCTGAGGTGATCTCCTCCCTTCCTTTTCCTAATTCCTCTCTAATCCTGAGAAACCATCTCTCCCTCTATAGGACTCCCTTGGTGCAGATACAGCTGAGGCTCTGCTGTTACTCACCCCTACCCATGTCCCCAAGAACAGGATGCTCTCCTGGGATGTCAGCCGTGAAGGCCAGGTCCAAGTTCACAGCCCTCATGCCTTGGTACAATTCCCAAACATCACTCCGGGAGCTACTCTGGGAGTGGGGCCCCCGCCCCTGGGAGCCCAACCTTGCTAGAAAGTGCTCCCTCCTCTAGCGCCCTCCAGATGTGGAGAGTGGGCTCACGGGTCTGCCATTCCACACTGCTGGGCACCCTACCCCAGTGCAGCCTCCACCCTCCCATCTCCGTCAGGCTGTTGAAAGTGCAAGTAATACAACACCCACATAAAAGTAGCTTAAAAACAACATAAGTTTATTACGTCTTGATGTCAGAGGCTCTGGGTCAGTTCAGCAACTTAGTGTATCACCAAAGACCCAGCGTCTTTCCTTCTTTCTGCTCCTCCAATCTCAGCATCTTGGGTTTCATCTTCATTTTTCCCCTGCTGGTTGCAAAACGGCTGCTAAAACTTCAAGTATTACTGCAACAAAACCTTTTCCAAAGTTCCCAGCACACATCCCCTCCAACCTCACTGATGGGACCTGGATTACCTGCTCACAGCCCACCCTGATGCCCAGGGGATGGGATCAGACAACTGGCAGGGCCCACTATGCCTCAACACATCGACACCTGACACCTTGAAGACCTATGGCTGTGTCACCAGGAAGAGGGGGGATGGCTGCTGGGCAGGACTGAGATGAGTCTGCGCACGTCCTTGGCTGGCCCACTGGTGCCCCCTGCTGCCCAGATCAGAGACCTGCACATTTTGCTGCCTAGGCCAGGTCAGGAGCACTCCACTGTGGCCCAGGGGACTCCAACATCTTAACAAACCGCTGACCACACTATGGCACCAATAAGTAGCAAGACACAACCAAGGGATGTGCTTCTTGTCTGTCTGTCCGTCTGTCAGTCTGCTGAGACTAAGTAGACTCCTGCAGTGTGCTCTGCAATGAATTTGAGGTCTTTCCCAGAATGCATTCAGCCAGGGCTAAGCCAGGAAATACATGCTACGCACAAGCTCAGAAGACCTGGGCTTGAGAACATTTGCCTCTTCACGTCAGGTCCTTCATACCTTGGTCTTCACGGAGAGCACTTCGGCAGTGGGGTGGTGCCAGCTGTGTGGGGTAAGGATCAGGAACCCTGCGTGCTTCCTATTCTGCCCATAACCTGTCACGCTGCACGCTATCTCCCAGCAATGCTGACCAGCGTATGTGGAAGAGTCTCATTTCCAACATCGTCTAAACTTGGTTTCACGTGCACTCGGTGGAGCTAAGCGTTTCAAGGAGTCCACGCCACAGCTGGCCGAGGGTCTGACGAGGTGCCCACCTGGCACATCTGGGGAATGCAAGGATTGCAATCCTGGGGCCACGCTTTCAGGTGGAAACGTGCTCAAGTCACTGACCTGAGTGTCTATGGAATTTCCAGGTCTGTTCACAACGGCACCTATGAGGCTACAATACCCCTAAGCTGTATTTCTATTCCTGTTTTTTTCAACTTTAAGTTATATCAAGTTAGAAGCTGCCCCTGACTTCAATCTGTATAGACGTTCTTGAATCCTGTTTTTGACTTAACCATAGTAGCTCTCATTCCCTGTTGTGTGCTGTGTGCTGTGTGCACATTTGATCAATGTCCCCTAACCTAGTAACTGATGAAAATTTAAACCAGTCAGTCAGAGAAGCCACAATAACCTCTACAGGAAAACTCACACTGTACATTTCACCTATAGGCACGGTTTTAAAATGTAGCTACAGAACCTGCAGGCTGTAGGAATCACAGAACTTCCACGAAACGGGCTGCTCTTTCCTGAGGTTGCAGGACCAAGCATCATCCCCTCAACACAGCAAGTCGCACGTGACTCTGCAGTCAGCCTGGTGTCTCTGCAAGTCTGGCAGGAATACATCTAGGAAATTAGGGAATACCTCCAAGGTTCCACAAAACTCGGCCTCTGCCCACCCCGCCTCTGGGCAGGGAGCTACATAGGAGGGGTCCCTCTGCAGGCGTGCTCAGCCACATTCCAGGGCTGGCTGGGGTGGAAGGAGGCAGCGAAGGGCAGGCACCAAGAATCCACACAGTGGGAGAGAACTCACTCTTCATAAGGAAATCAGGGACTTTGGGGAAGGGGATCAGTGGTGACAGCCAGAAACCTGACTGATGTCACAGCATGCCATCCCCTCACCCCAAACACACACAGTTTCTCTCTCTACTATCACTCTGTTTATCTCTCCCAGAGAACTTCACACACAGTGATGTTCAGTCGCCTGTTTGTCGCTCTTCTAGAATATAAATCCCGTAAGATTAGGGGCCTTGCACATCATTCACACTGAATCAGGAAAGCTTGTTACACAGCAGACACTCAATAAGTATTTGCTGAATGAATGAATGAGTCCCCAGTTGCTTCTCATTTAAATGAAGATTAGCAAATTGATCACACTTTTATCAGTGTAGTTAAAGACGCAAACCATCTCCCTTCATCACATCTCTGCTACAATGGTTTGGTATTTCAGTTCCAGGCGTATGATCGGGAGTTTAATTCTCTTCAGCATTTGCTGAATGATATGCAGGGATTATTCGAGCCACCACTCAATATTAATTTTTCAGATATATGGAGCTTGTCTATTGACATTTAAAGGTTTTCCTTAACTTGTCTTTATCTGAATCAGTCAAGTCTCTTCTCATAAGTGAGAAATATTAAATAAATGGCTGCTTTCATAAAAATAAAGAAGTGACTAGCAGAAATAATCTTTAACTTCTGCGAACAAGCTTCTCTTTAGTGCCTGAAATAATAAACACAGCTTACAGACCAAGGACTTCGTGCCGTGAGTTTTACAAATCAGTCCCCAGCCCCCTGTTTAGTGTCTCATTACCCCAGTGACAGGGAGGCTCAGGAAACTAAGGCTTCGAGAGGGTCAGCCACTGGCCCAAAGCCTCCTGTAGGGATGTGGACCCAGGTCTGGCTTACTCCAAAGCTCATGACTGTTTAACTATTAAATCAATACCAACTACTCCACTGCACCATGCATCTTCTCTGAATACCACAGTTCATCAGATCTGAGGTCCACCAACGGCGGCTGATGTGCTAGGACATCATGAGGCACGGCACTGCCAATTCCAGTCATAAAACACCATCAGCTGGAAGGCAGCTCGCAGTGTCAGAAATGTTAAAATGTGTCTGTTTATTCCCACACATTTACACAAACTCTATGTCTTAGATTCAATAAAATACAGTCATCGGGGGAGAGGGTAGAGCTCAGCGGTAAAAGTGCACGCTTAGCATGCACACGGTCCTGGATTCAATCCCCAGTACCGCCATTAAAAATAAGCAAATAAACCAAATTACTTCCTCCTTCCCCACCTCCCAAAAAGCAAAACAACAAATAAAATAAAACAAAACAAAGTAAAATAAAATAAAATAAAATAATCCACTAGCCTCAGAACAAATTATTCCTAATAAATGTTATAACTGTGTCTCTAACTCCTTTAGAAAATTAATTTTGCCATGAAGTCCAGAAAAGAAAGAGAAATCTTAAGCATGAATAAAGTTTCAGGAAGCTGCAAACATGCACAAAAGCATTCCCTCTTTAAATCTGTCTCTTCTCATCTTGGCATCAAATCGTATTCTTCACAATGTGAAGGGCGGCTGACGTCCCTCCCACCCATGGACATGACCGCCGCTCACTGGTACCTCCACACATCCGCGGGCTCCCAACACGTACGCACGTCTGTCAGAACGCAGCACAGTGGGGCTTTAAATCTCCCTGCTGTTTTTTACTTCTGTTTATTGTCTCCAAAAGTTAAGGAAAGCAATCAGAATTTCTCATTCCACAGCAAGGAAAAACACATGCTTTGCTGAAGACACAGCCTTAAGTCTCTATAAAATCAAAGACCCCAACGCTTCAGAAACCCTCCTCGATAAAGTCTCTACGTGAGTGACCGACTGAAGCACACCGACCCTCAGGGCCTCTCTCCATGGCCCGGAAAGAGCTGGCATCGTAGGCCCACACGGTGTCACCCCCCTCCCCGGTGACCTGGGCCGGGCTCCAGTGCGGGAAGGGGAACCGGCAGGCGATGACTCTAGCGTGGTCCTGGAGTTCCAGCTCGAGCTTCCTCTCCAGCTGCGGCATCTGCGGGGAGCGACAGCAGCACCTCGGTGAGCGGGCAGTCGGAGGCAAGGGGGCCCTGAGAATACCTGCAGAGCCACTGACTGTAAAAAGACCACCCCAGGGCACAAACACATCATCACACAATCCATTAAGATACAGAAGTCACGTGAACCACAGTTACAAGAATACCTTCTGGTATCAATTATAAAGTGCGCCATTCTCAGCAGGGGTGTGTCACATTTCCGGTTTTCTGACTAAAGTCATGATGTGGCAGTCATTAAAATGAGGCGCAGTTTTGCCTTACTTACCAAACTAAACACTTCAGTCTCCCCCGCCTCAACTCCCTAACACAGATTTGTCCACATTCTTAATATCCCTGAAATCGGGATACATCTTACAACTGACATGGTCTTAGAACTATAATTGGCAATGTTTCTTTCCCAATTACAATGGTACATCTTAAAATCACTAGCACCTAGAGTCAATTAAATACGGTATAATTAGACCATGAAAAACATACACTTCTACCACCTTGAAACATAAAATGTTTCATAGCTTTTTAAAAGCATATCCAGAATATACTGATAATTAATCTGACAGTCAACATGACATAAAAAGTAAAATCCTCTTATTTATCACTTTTGCATAATTTTATTACCCATCTACCCATGAAGAGTTTTACTTTTCGCTAAAAGTATTGATACTGTAATTACATCGGCAAATTAACAGCTGCTTAAAATTTTATCTTCCGGTCCTAAAAACATATTACTACCTTTACCTCCTAAAAATATTTTTCTACTTCCTTCCTTTGTTGTTTTGAAATAGTTTCAAATTTACAGAAAAGTTGCAAGAATAGAGCAAATAATTCCCATATTCCTCTACCCACGTTCACAAATTTTTTTTAAGTTTGTCACACTTGCTTTATCTAACTCGCTCTCCTCCTCTAAGAATATTTTTTCTAAACCATCTAAGAATAGACTGCATACAACATGCCCCTTTTACTCCTTAGTACTTCAGTGTTTTCTAAGAAAGAGCCCCAGCACAACCGTATCAACCAAATCAAATTCAGGAAATTTAATACTGTATTCCAACAACAAAAATTCCAGCAGCATCCCACTTCAGTCAAATGTCCCAGTAATGTTCTTTCCATTGTCCCCCAGATCAGAATCCCACACTGCATTTAGCTGTAATGTTTCCTCCGTCTCCTTCAATCTGGAACAGTTCTTCGATCCTTCTTTGTCTCTCATGACAAGAACATCCTTTAAGAACACAGGCCAGCTACTTTACCAGGGGTCTCGCTGATGTCTCGTCACGAGGACTCGGCTTGTGCGTCTCCGGTAACCCCCAGCAGTGGGCCGGGGACTTCGCAGGGCTCCACAGTCCTGAGCCCCATGGGGTTTTCTGCTTTGAGGGGGATGTACCACTTGGTTAAAGGGGATCTGGTCTCTCCACAATGTGGTTACATTTCTTCTTTATAATGAACAAGTAATTGTGGGGAGAGAGCTTGAGAAGATGTAAACAATCCTGTTACTCAGCAAACTGTCTCCCCACTAGAAGTAGCATTCTTGGTCGCTCTGCTGGACTCGATTTTTACAATAAGCATTGCAATGTGGCAATTCGCTACTTCCATCATTCCTTCTAGACTGGTGGTCAGCATTCAGCTTCAAGGAAGCACTTTCCGTCTCTACCACTGGAAGTGTGAACTCCTGGAGACTTATTTCATTCAATGGATTATAATCCATGATTGTCCATCTTTCTTCTCACACTCTAATTGCCCGGTTTGGCCGCTGGGAGCCTCCACAGGCTGGCTTCTCTCTCCTGTGTATGTGCCCCATCAAACATTCTGAGCACTTCCTTAAATGTGGGCTCAACAAGTCGTTCCAGGCTTTTGAATCTTCCCTTCCTCGGCCCCAGATAAGTCATTTCTCAAACATTCCTGGTTCCTCTGAGCGAGAAATGATATTTAGAAGCCAAGATCTGAGCAAAACCTACCCCCTTTAAAAGTAATCAGTTAAATCAAGGTGAACAAACCAATAGCGCTTTTATGAAGATTTTACTCCTCACCTGCATCTTTGAAAAGTGGTTTAGAAAAACTCCTCTACATGACCTTTGGCTGGAATGAGCCAAAATTCTGCTTCTTCGTTAGAATCAATACCAAGATGACAAAGAATAAATTCCATTAAGGATGGGATATTCCTTTCTTTTAACAGCTGGTAAAAGATTACTATTTTTAAAAAAGGTAAAGTTTTGCTCCTTGAGGGAAAAATTAAATAAGCGAAGAATGAAACAGTATATGTTTTCCCAAAATATCACAGGTTCCTTACAGTAATTTGGCTCATAAGAAGGGTAATTGTAAACTTATTCATATTACCATTCTTTTCTCTTTTTCAGATCTTTTATTTCCTAATGACTGTCATATGCTAAGTCAAGATAAACCTACAAATGAAAGACGCTATTTCAATCATAAGAAATTAACTGACTACACATAAATATGCAACAAGCCTGGGTCTTGATATTATACACAAAGAGAAGCAGTGATGTGTCATGTCTGCCTAATGAAATTCAAAATTATTCATACAATTATATGTTTCAAAGTGACTGAACTCATCACATTCTAATTACATCTTCAAAGCTTTTAAATAGACGTTGAAACCAGCTCAAAGGCATAAGACAGACTAGCCATGCCCATCAGCAGCTTGGGGCCACTGGATCACCCCCTCCCCCAGACACTGGCTTCACTCAGCTCGTGGGGTAACCCCCACCCAAACCCCACTTTCCTTCTCCCCAGCTCCTCCTCTCAGAGTTCTCTGCTGGGGGCCCCTCATTTGCTGGAGGCCGGAGCCCATCTCGCTCCCTCCCCAGGTGACCTCAGCCACTCCTCGACTTCAACTTGGGCACTGATGCCCAAAAACTCCACCTGCGCCCGCCCGCCCTCCCTCCTGAGCCCCAGACTCCCTCAGTCCACCACCTCCAACCTGACACGTCCACAAGCCTCAGAATTCACATGCCAGTGGAATTCCTCATCTTCCCCCAGGCGGCTCTGCCTGCAGCTTCCCCAGCTCAGCAGCGGCAGCTCCCAACTTCCAGCAGCTCAAGCCAAACACTCTGGGGTGCCCTGGGCTCCTCTTCCTCTCCTGCCGACACTGGATCTGCGGCTCACCGTGTTGGTTCCCTCTTCATGATGCCTCCAGAATTTGATCACTTCTCACCAGCTTCTCCAGCCTGAGGCAAACCTCCCACACCGATGGCCTGTATGCCTGCAAGAGCTCCATCCCATCTTCTACCCCCTCTCCCTCCCCGACCCTCCCACCCTACTCCACCCACCTCCTCTCAACACAGCAGCCTGGAAGCCTTCCCCGTCCAGCTGGGTCCCCCACTCCTCTGCCCCAATTACAAGGGCTCCCACCTCACAGGGACACAGTGTCCTTCCCGCCCAGCCCTATTTCCTCTCTGATGTCAGCTCTCCTCCACTCTCCTCCTCAACCCGCTCCCACCATGCCCATCTCCTTGCTGCTCTGGAAACCCTCAGCACCTCTGCCTTTGCAGTGGCTGTTCCCCTGCCTGGACCACTCTGCCCAACACAGCTCCCTCCCTCACCTCCACATGTCTCCTTCTCAGGGACACTGTCTCTGCCCCATCCCGCTCTGGCTTTAGTTGGCCCCACAGCACTCAGCCCCTTTCACTGTATGATGTAATTTACACAGATATCTCATTTAATGTCTGCTCTCCCCACTAGCATTAAGTACCTCAGGGCAGGGGCTTTTTCTTTTATTCACTAATGTATTCCAACTGATTAGAACAGGGTCTGGCACTTAGTGGGCCCTGAAAAAACACTTGTTGAATAAATGAAGGAAGGATAAGTGATTTGGTTATGAGTCATGTTTCTTTATCAGCCCATGACGGTAATGTTTCTGTTCATCAATTCATAACAGGATTTGTAACGAAAATGAAATCAGTCATTCTCTGAAGTTATGAAACTTAGTTCCCCACTGGGAACAGTGCACTTAACGGGTACGCTTATGCCGCACTAGCTCACTCACTAACAAATACTTCCTGGGCCATCACTCTGCTGGGCATGCCGAGCCGCAGGCCTGGCTGCAGAGACGACGGGTCTGCCCTCATTGTTGAGCTCACAGTGCAGCGTACACGGCAGACGCCACCAAAGCCATCACACAAGGAGAAGTGCAGTCACTCATCCCCAGAGAAGGGGACGGGCTCGGGCTATTGGGGCTTGTCTCACGGGGCAATCAGGGACAGCTTCTCAGAGGAAGAGACACCTGACCTGGGAGTGGTCAAGATTTCACTAACCAGGCCGAGAGCTGGGGGACCGAGGTCGCAGGGAAGGGCGCGGCCCCACGCGGTGCAGTCCAGGGGCGGAGAGGACAGAGCTGGTGCGCAGACAGCTGAGCGAAGCAGGGCCGCTCAGGGCCATGGCAAGGGCTGGGAGCAACCTCCCTGCACTATAGCAGCAAGAGGTCAGAGGGGTCCTAAATGAGGACACAACTCATCTGTCCCACACCCTGAAAAGACATTCTTGGTGCACAGGCTCGTGTTCGACGTGGACATTTGCCATCCTCGCCCTAGACCAACCAGGTCCCAGCGGGACTCCTGATTCCTCCCCCACTGGACACACACCTGTCTGAAATGCTAGGGCAGCTCTAGTTCCGAGCTATCCCTGCACAGAGCTGTTAGGAGTCAGGAACCCAGTACCAGAAGCAGAGAGAGGACTGACAACACCAGGGTCTCTACCGCTGAAGTTCCCTGAGTGTCCCTGGGCTCCCCCACGGCCTGCGTGTGCTCCAGCTGCTGCGGGAAATGGTTCTTGCCACCCCGCCGCTGCCGGAATACTGGCCAGTGCTCGGAGAAGGGCCAGGAGTCGTAACAGGAGACCACAGGACTGCACCCAGACAGGCTAAAGGACTTCCCAGGACTCGTGCAACCCGCCGAGGGCAGACTCGACCCCTCACCCCCCAGACAGCACCTTCTCTCCCCTCCCTGCCTCCACGCAGGCGAAGCTTGATGAGGGGGAAGGCAGGCTCCCCATCCATGAAACCTGGCCTCTTCCAGACCAACAGAAGCCATCTGGGCCATCCCCGCCCCGATCCATCCACCAGCGTGGAAAACTCCAAGTTGGCTGAACCCCTCTTATTCTGAGAACGCGGGTGCTCTGTGTATTTCAGCTGCTTCCCTTCTTGCTGGAAACAGCGAAATGCTGCAAGTTCCTTATTTAGATGCCTCTGTGTGCAGAGGAATGGACAACGATCACAAAAGCATTCATCAAAATCACAGGACACTTATTTCCCTAGAGCGAACAGTGCCACGAACTGACTATACTTCAGACTGCTTAGAAGCTCAAGGACCTGGGTCTCAGCAAAGACCACTGCTGCCCCCTGCTGGGGCAGAGCTGCTGCAGCCTCGCACAGACACCCACCCTCCAGACAGCTGGAATAAATACCAACTTTCTATTTTTATAAAACATGGGTTTCTAATTAAAGTTACCTGCCCTAAAATGCTAATTATTACAAAAGAATGCCCAGACTTCATAATAAGTAGTAAATAATCATCAAACTCCACAGCAATTCTATGATTCCAAATTGGTTTTTTTTAATGACCAGAGATGATGGCTTTCTATCTCTCTTAATTTCTATAACAAAAGTGTAGACACCCAGGTTTCATCTTAATTTTAGGCTTACTGAGAATTATGAATGTACAGAATCCTGTCACATTCAAGAATATCTAACAAAAGCATTCCTAAATAGACTTAAACAAAAGAAAGAAAATGGCATTGCATTGAAAGTCCTAATAGTAAGAATATATTTCTCAAGTACTGAGACATCTTCGACAAGTACAAGTAACAAAACATAACAATAAAAAAGTAAATTTCTCTTTTTTTTAAATAAAAAAACCATATCAGTTATATAGTGGCATTTCAGCAAACATCCAATTTTGCCAAGATTATTATGGTTACAATTACAGACTTTGAAAAGTGAAGGGGGATTTCCTTCCATGGTCTGTAAACCAGCAATTACAACGAAAGCATCCCATTCCAGTCATCTTTCCAAAGGCTGAATATAGGACCATTTTCAGAACGACGCTGCAGCATTTTCACTTTTGAAGGTACGGAATCAAAGTTCAACACAAATCAGTCAACTGAGGTCAACTGAAACTAGTTAGCGCTCGTCCACCCTGAAAATCATCTCACTGCAAAATCCGAGGAATGACCACTTCAAAGGGAACATCCCATTAACCTTCCCAAGTGATTCCTACAGGATGCGAGCGACTGTGCGGGAAAGTCTCCAACTACCCGAGACACCAGGAGCTCAGAAGGCAGTTTTCAGACTGGAATTTTTAGGGCTTAGGTAGCCAATTGAGACTACCTATGTGAAGCAAAAGTTCTACAATGTGACTGAACCTTTTACAATTAAACTTTTAAGGCCCTGAGGTATTTTGTTAAACCAATAATCTGAAGTCCAACGTTCCCCCAGAATCTCCGGGAGGCTGTCGTTGCGCACATGGGGGAGCAGGCGAGAGAGCAGCGGCCTGTCAGGGCTGGAGGTGCCCTCACAACCGAACCCAAACAAGCAGCGGACGGGAGGTGCCTACTCACCATCTGCGGTACCCCAAAAATCACGACGTTTGAGTATTCAGAAAAAGTAACCTAAAGGGGAGGGAGAAAACCATGCATGGATTAATTTTTGAAAGCCAAACATGAGCTTGACTTTTATTTCAAAATGAGGGGCAATTTTCCCTTTCACCAAATGGTAGGTTTTCACAAAGAGTGGCCCTTTTTAAGATTTCCCAAGGAAAAGAACATCATGTTCACACCTTCATCTGTGTGAGTTCAGTCTGTCACAGTTTTCCAGAAGTTTCCTCACAAGTTATCCCATCTCATCCTCACAGCCACTCCACGCAGGGCCCGCCCCGGGGAGCATCAATCAGAAAGGCAGCGACTGATCCAGCGGCAGCGGGCGGTAAGGCCAGCAGGCCGCGGGCCATGCGCACTGCGGGTCCACACTTCCTACACTGCTGCACACACCACCAGCTCAGCGAGAACTCAAGGGATTTCTGAACCACCTGTTTTTTATGTTGCGCCATCCTTAAAATTCTAGTCCCCCTCCTCTCCTCTAAAATACTAAGTAAAAATTGCAATAAAATGGTCTTTAGTTGGAAAACTGGGGGGGGGAAGTGCTTTGCCAGTCAAAATTCTTATTACCCAATAAAAGTCTTATTTACTCTAGTCTAGAGAGAGATCGTTTATGTATATATGGAATAAAAAACAATGCAGGCAAACTCAAGTGAATTTTTATAAGCTACTGATGACAATATTACAATGGGAAATTCTTATTTAAGAAAAAGCATTTTATGAAGCATTCCTAAAGCAAAATTACAGAACATTTTTTAGAGAACAAATAAACTTGGAAACATCTCGTACTTTATGAGGATGTGAAGGAACCACGACAGCCTAGTTGGTAGACGGTTTCTTTCCTCCTGCACTCATCTCTGTCTCCCTCTAGATACATACACACACACACACACACATACACATTCACTCACACACATTCATACACACATACACACATTCACACACTCACACACATATTTACACGTACACACAAAAGTCTACTATTCACCAGGAATGGCATTAGCAAGTTAATGCCTATATTACAATGTATAAGACTTTCAAATGAGATAAAAATCTTATCACTGTGTAATAAATAGAAATGAGAACTTTTTTAATTGAGCAAATAAATCCTTAGAATTCACATAGCCAAAAGTTACAAACCTTAAGTTTCTAACGTAGAGTTGATTTGTAAAATCTATCCATTTAAAAGCTGTTCACATTTCACTGTGCTGAAATATACACTTGTATTTAATTATCTTTTTCTTTTCATATGTTATTCAGTTTTCAGTCATGCTAATTATGAATTACAAAGGCTTGGGGGTTGGAGCTTTCTAGGCCCACTCTCTGCCTCACATACCTTCCACAGGTCCGAGATGTAAAACCTGGCGGAGCCCTGCACGCCTTCTCGCCACGCGCGGTACCTGGAGTACCAGACCAGCCACGGGTTTAATTCATAACCGACAGCAGTGAACCCCTCCTTTGCAGCTGCTATCACCTGTGGGGAGAGGCCGTACTCAAAATCAGAAAAACACCAACTCACATGGTCAAGTGATATGAAAACTCCCTATTTGTGGTCTGTAAACAGAAAATATCTAATCAGAAGGTGTTTGTTCAAAACATCATTTAAAGGTGGAGCACTCAAGTCACCTGGTTTTGTGGACAAGATAATGCCAGTCCATTTAAGTTCAGTTTTCTCATTTTTGTCAAAGATTTCACCTTGAGCATCAGAACAGACGATCAGGTTTGCTTTGGACAACTGCATAATTAAGTCTGGATGGGTCAACCCCCCAGAAGCTCTAACAAAAAGCTTCGGAAAACCTGCGTTCTCTCTCCACTGGGACACACAGCCTCAGAGGAAGCGAGTGTGCCTGGGAAGACATTTTGTGAACCAGTTGTAATTGTAATAAAAAAACAACCAGTGTGTGAATAACCTGCCATTAATTACATATTTCTCAGTATTTAAAGACCGCTCACTCCAACTTGACAACAGGTACAGGTACGATGGAACGGGTCAGAATAAAGTCAACTACCGCACTGTCATCTCACCTCCCAAGGTGACAGGGATGGTGGGCTGCTCCAGGATCTCTGCTCGCCTGTCCTGCCCCTACTCTCCAAGCGAGCACCCCTGAAGGAACTGTCCCATCTATGCAACTTCCCGATTAACTGTAGCGTCGTCCCTTTGAGAAGGGAACCATTTTCTTAGAAATCATAAAGCTACCATCCAGAGATGTAAAGCATCCACATCTGGATTTTAAAACATCCTCCTTGTTAACATACACATCTCCTGGTTTCTTAAGAGCAAAAACAAGTCGCTTTTTAATCTCTTCCTGATTATCCCAGGTCACCACCACGAGACTGCACGGTCCACGTCTGCAGCGGGCTGGTGAAAGGTGCTGTGCCCTGCTGGTCTCACACGAAATGTTTCCAGAACGCGAGCCTTCACTACTGCTGTCCTCACTTTTCGCTCATCTTCCAGGTGGAGGTCTAAGGGTGGTGCCACCTGCCCAGCGAGGAACCTGCTCTGGGACCCTGGTGGCCAGTCAGAGGCTGTGAGTCTTTGTTTATAGGCTCCCAGCTGGGGTCAAAGTGAGCTGAGGCCACCAAAAGTCTGACCTTTGGATAAGTGGGGGTTAATGCATTGGCCCTTCCCTATCTTCACTCTAGATTACCCCACAGAAATTACAATACTTTATATATACATGACATACTTATATAAATACAGGTAAATTTAGAAGCTAATATTTATGGTACAAAACATATAAAACAGTCAAACTATGACTTAATATGTTGTTTCCTCTGGATATGCCACCTTTATTGGCCCAAGTTTTTTAATCAACAGTCTCATAATTACCAATTATTCTTCCTTTCTACCTGGTAGATCCACACAGCACTTTCTCCTTTAAGAAAAATTAAATCTGAGAAAAAATAAATTCCAAAGTCCTGCTGGAGGGCTTGATAGTTCAGCCAAAGAAACAAACTGACTACTTTATTAAACTGTCAGATTTAGCAAGTCTTTGCACAAGCCTCATAAGAAATGTGAAACAGAAATTTTAAACCTTGAAACCTAAAAAACGTAAACCTCAAAATATATCAGCATAAATGTATATTATATATATATATTCTAACATGCACATATATATTCCAACATATTCCAATTTAGAAAAAATTTAGAGCCTAGAAGTCCATTTATACCTAATGCCACCGGGCTGCCAGTAACATGGTCACCATGGTGTGAACATGTGAAGAAAGAAATTCCCAGCATTGCATCTTTGGAACTTTTTTGGGCTTAAGCTTAAATTGACTAAGACCTCAATATATTTTGGATGACTTTCTATTCTGGTTTCCCCTACCTTGTTGACAAGATATGACTAAAAATAGTCGTGGGATGAAAAGTCACCAAAAGAAATACAACCTGGTTTCCTCAACAGATGAATGAGGTTATGGAAGCTATTACAAACTACAAGAATGCTGCAAAACAAAACACTACACTATTTGGAATAAAATTAATAAACCATGGAAAATCTCTTCCTTTAAAAAAACAGTCTCAGCATAACTCACAATGCGCCCGTCGCCGCTGCCGACGTCCACCAGGGATCCTCTTCTGCACCGCAGCGCTTTCATGACGTTTTCAATCTGCTTTGTAGTTGCAGGTACAAAAGGCAAACAAACGCGCCGGAGGGCTGGGGTGATAAACGGTGTGGCCACAGCATACACGGCCACCAGCGTCCCGCCAACGATGCCAGTGAGTAAGAAGCCCCAGTTGCTTTTCTTCAGGCTGTTGGCTTCAAGACTTGCAGGTAGAGCATACCCCGACTGCCTTTCTTTCAATGCTGCTGGGGGTGTCCCTGGATTGAGAGTAAGCAGAAAAGATACATATAGCCCCAAAGCTGAAACCCAAAGTAGTGTTTTTTCCTACAATTCTTATTGACAAATAAACTCATGCTTTTTAAAGAAGCATGGTTTAGCTCAGTACAGGCTAAATTACAAATGTATAATCCCAAAATAAGTTCTAAATTTCATCAACTAAATTAAAGTGTTTTATAGAAAATTACCCAATACTGATGGAAGACTAAAATCTTCTCTTTCCAACGATTTTTTTTCTCTAGGAGTCACCCTTAAAAAACCTGTTCAAATCTATTTGGTATTTTATGAAGCAGTATCCATTAACACAAATGTGAACCACGTATTCCATATTTTTATGGTTCCCAATAGAGCCCCACAAACAAATAAGCATGAAAATGTCTAGCTATTACCCTATTTCAAACAGGATGAAAGTATTCTAGTCCAAAATTGGTCAGGCATCGATACCCTAGTTGTATATATTCAAATTCTGAAGTAAAAGAGGAGACAAAATTCAGGTTTTACTAAAAATCTTAAATAATCGTGGTAATAAGGAGATTTTTAAAGCAGATCAACAAAGAACAAAAAAATAAAATAATCATTTCAATGCTACCTACCACACATACAGAATAAAGTGAGCAAACTCCAAACAACTGATTACAGAGGGTATGAGTGGTACCTTAAAGACCCTCCCCTTGAGATTTATTTATTTGGAATATATTCCTAATAGGATCTCAAGTTTTTTAGGTTGAAACTGATTTGAAATTAATTTTGAAACTGATTAATGATGACTACAGCACAGAGGCTGCCAAGGTCAGGACTCTGGCACCATGCCTCATAACCGTGTGTGACCCTTCACCTCTCCAAACCTTGGCTCCTCCGCTGCAAAGTGGGGACCATGGGGTTGTTGTGAGGATGAAACAAGGGGAAGAAGGTAGAGCACTTGGTGCCCAGCACGTGAACCCCGCAAGGAACAAGACCACCCAGCCCTGAACTAGCTCACAGTCTAGCTGAGGGGCTAACACCAAAACCACAGCAATCTGTAGGAAAAAGGAGAGTAAGAGGAGAGAGGACAAGAGATTCTTATCACACGAAGACACTGGTGTTCAGAGTTTCAGCATTTGTAAGCCATTCAAAAGGCCCACTGTATTAGTTTCCTTTTGCTGCCTTAAGAAATTACCACAAACTTAGTGAGTTAAAACAATACACACTTATTAACATACAGTTCGGGAGATCAGAGGTCTGAAAGTGTAGGCTGTGCTCCTTCTGGAAGCTCTAGGATGGGTTTGCTGCCTTTTCCCACTTTGAGAGGCATTCTTTGGCCCCACATACCTCCAACCTCTGCTTCCATCCTAACACCTGACACCCCTATCCCACTCTTTCCTTTACAGGAAAGGAATCCTGTCCCTGTGAGCACACTGGCCACCCAGACAAGCCAGGATAATTTCCCCATCTCAAAGTCCTTAATCATATCTGCAATGTTGCTCAGGTAACGTCCTCACAGGTTCCAGGGATCAGGGCATGGACTTATTTCTGCCTACCACACTCATCGAACATGGTAATCCGTTACAACTGTGGTAAGACACAAATGTGAACACTGGGCACACCAGAAGCTGGCCCACGGTGGGGAGTCACTGCTCCAGGGCAGCTGACCAACCCCAGCATTTCCTGTTCCATGCGGCTTTGTACTTCCTGATGCCCAAGGTCCTCTAAAGTGAGCTTTAAAACTAGCGGCATGGTGGAAAACCAAGTCAGAAACAACAGTGAAAGTCTACTGCTGGTGATGGGAGTAAAACAAAAGTCGTTTAGGAAGGTGATGGTGTTTGATAGAAAGCAAGAGTTTTCAGGAGGGAGGGTATAGCTCAGTGGTAGAGTGCAGTGCTTAGCATGCACAAGGTCCTCAGTTCAAACCCCAGTAACTCCATTAGAAAAACAATAATAATATTAAATAAACTAAATTACTTCTTTCTCCCCCCCAAAAAAGAAAGTTTTCGATACATGTTCATTTATACACTTCAGCGTAGTACGGAGGAATATACAGGCTACAGTAGTAGTCATGCATCTGATCAATTGTTTTTAAAGGTTAAGGTACGTCTTTCATGCCTTGAGTAAAATCACCCCGCAGGCATTCCAACTGTGCCATACAGTGGTCAGGAAGATTTCAGTCTCACAGCTCTGAAGACTCAGAACTGGTAAAAGAAGAAAAGCAATACATTTCTGTGGAACAGAGGTAGCAATATAGTTATGTGTAACTATATGCATACAGTTGTATATATATAGTGGTGTAACACTAGGTAAGTTGTTTCTAAGGCTCGCTTTCCTCACCTAAAAGATTTAGAAATAACATCTTCATAGGGTTATTGGGACATTAAACAAATAATGCATACAAAGCCCTTAGCACAGGCCTGAGAGAGTAAGTGATGACTATTAGCCACTACTGTTATTTTCAAGACTATCACGGAGGCAGGATATTATTTTTAGCAACTTTATTGAGACGTAATTCGTATGTCCCATCTAATACGTACACTTCAAAGGCCTTTAGTATATTCAGACACACCATCATCACAGTCAACTTTAGAATTTTCTCATTACTTCCAGAAGAAACCCCTTTTGCTTTAGCTATCACCCTCCCATCCTTCTCCTCCCCATCCAGCCCTAAGCAACCACTAATCTACTTTCTGTCCGTTCAGACAGCAGACTTTCATGGGTGGAATCACTTAGCACGTGGTTTTTGTGTGACTGGCTTCTCTCTCCCAGCATAATGTTCTCAAGACGCATCCATGCTGTCCAATGTATCAGTACTTTATTCTTTTTTATGGCCTAATATTCCATCAGGGAGATAGCCTACATTTTGCTTATCCATGTGTCTGTTGACGGACAGCTTCTCTTTGTCCTAAAAATCCTCTTTGGATTTCTCTCAGTTTGTGAAAACAGGTTCTAACGCAGGTCTTTTATAAAAGCAAAGTGGTATAAAGTGAACTTTCAAAAAACATGAGGATACCTGTACTGGAAAAAGAGCATTCTCAGAAGGACCCCTGGGATGTTAGGCAGTTTAGATAGAAATGAGCATTCGGCAGGAGAGGAAGGGCAAAGGAACCACCAAGAAAATAACAGTACATCTGCACTCAGGATAAGAAACTTACATCTTCTCTAAATGAGGGCCAGCAAAAGAAGCCAGCCAAAATCAAAACGCTGCAGCTGCCCATAAGAGAAGGACCCAGTATAACTTGACTCCGTGAACCTACCCAAAAGGGGATGGATGCGCCTGAGCGTAGGCAACCTGAATTGTCAATCAACCAATCAATCAATCAATCATGAAGCCAGGATATAAAAATAGGAAAAACAAAGGAGCTTCGCCATTTTTCCTCTCTTGGATTGGCCTTCTCTCAACTCTTGGAAGTGTACCATCTTTCATTATTTTTTTTTAACTTCACTAATAAAAAACTTGCTTGTATCATGCTTTCTGTCTCTCATCAAAAATTTTTTTTCGGGTGACTAAGAACCGAGGTAATTCTTATTTTCCTTTTGCTGATAACACCGGTACTGGAAAAGGAGCATTCTCAGAAGGACTCCTGGGAACCCAGGCACAGGAGGCAGGGGAAGCATTTGCTGCGTTCAGGGTGACAGAAAAGCAGGAAGGAGGGAGGGAGTCCTCGCGGGCCAGGTTAAATACGCATTTTACTCCTGTGCACGGAGACGAAACTTTTTGAGAAGTCACGACATTATTTGTGTTTAAGAAAGGCAACACCAGCAGCAGTGTTCCCTGACGCTACCACACACATTTCTGCCCCAAATTTCTACACCTGCAAGGCTTCCAACTTCACAAAAATGTGTCCGAGCTTTTCAAGCTGCTATGTAAGTCCAAAATATGGCTATACTGCTACCACCATTCAATAAAGTATGTATTTTTTTTTATCAGTGAAAATGGCTGGATCCCAAGAGCAGCACACGCACCTGCGGCAGGCGCCTAAGGGTCGGGGCGCGATGGGGCAGCAGCCCTGAGGCACCGAACGCCAGACCTCGAGCCCGGGCAGCGACCCGCGGCGCCCCTCCCGACACCCCACACGGACCGGCTGCACAGCGGACACCGGCCGCGAGCCCCACGCTACACACACACACACACACACGCCGAGGCCCAAAGAGCCCGCCGCGAGCCGCCGGCCTCACCTCTTCCTCCCTCCATCGCGAGATTTCCCGCAGTTAAAAAAAAGGCAGTGGATTCTACCATCTCCTCGGAGCTGGGGGTGGGAAGGAGCGAGAAAATAATGCTCTAAATAAATTAGTTATTCATTGGGACCACTGTACAGAAACTCTCCATTTTGTAGCTTTAATAAATGTCTCGACTCGATCTGCTCCTGACTTGTGGGTTCTAACGTTCCCGTCCATGTCTTCAAACTTCCCCCCACAGCTTCCTGGATGATAGACGTTCCCGATGGCCGCTGATTCCAGAAGAGACTGTCTGGCGTTAAACTAGTCCCAAGTGAGAAATAAGTCTCATGCGGCCTGTACTGCGCATGCGCGAGCCCTCGCTCCGTCCCGCGAGAGGAAGGTGTGTTCTCAGTTCCGGAGTGGACGCCGGCAGTTGAGGGAGTGTAACGCCTGCTGCTGCACCATGACGTCTGTGGGGACCCTCGCCTTTGATGAATATGGCCGGCCTTTCCTCATCATCAAGGATCAGGACCGCAAGTCTCGTCTTATGGGACTTGAGGCCCTCAAGGTAACGGGACCGGGACACACTGGCCGCGGGATGAGGGGAGGCGGCCGAACCCAGTGACTGCGCCTGCGCAAACTTACGAGCGCTTCTGCCATGTGCTCCCGGGAAAGGTCGGGGGACCCCCCCCCCAGTCTCCAGTCCTGCACCCGACGCTTTGGGCCCGCAGAGGCCACCGTTCAAGCCTTTAGGCCCAATTTGGGGTGAGGCTGGAGCCACAAGCGCCCTTCACAGAGTTGGGTGGGGCAGCTTCAGTTCACCCGCGTCCCGGCTGATTGCTCCAGCCTGCAGTCATTCCGTACAGTGTTTTCATCAGTAAGACGCGGAGAGGGTATTCTCAGGTCTCTTGGCGGGTTAGGACTCTTGATTCTTAATCTTCCGTTGGTGTACCTGCAACAGTCCCAGAAGAAATAAGGTTCATTTTCTTTGTCATTTCCTAAAGGCTTAGTCATTTACAGCGTTTCATTTTTTTTTAGTATCTTTCTACATGGCGTTTTCCTGGATGTAGTATCTTAAAAATTGAAAACGTACACCTTTGAGGAAGAAAAGAGTGAGAATTGGTCACTAATAACCACAATACAAGGCAGTGTGTGACCGGAATCACCAGTCATGGGATGCAGATAAAAGCTGAAGGGTGTCCTTCAGACCTTCGCTAGAGGTTGACGTTTGTTCAGAGATGGAGTAAGGTTTTGAATGGGAGAGAGCTAGCATTTTAGGGAGAGAAAACAGCAAAAGCAAAGACCTGGGCAGGAGAATGCATGGCATGTAGTGGAACCGCCTGGTTTTAACAGAGCACAGTCTACCTTACCTTACAGTAGTTCCCAAAGGTGGAAGTTCTTGAATGCCCCACAATCAAGATGTTATCCTAAGGGATAGGAGGGGAGACACGCATTTGAAGGGGTTTTGAACAGACTCACAATTTAAGTAGAACTATACCAGAGGAAGTAGCATTTGGGGTGGAATCTATGACATGATGTGTACAGACCATGTTCCCTGATCTGAGGTGTCCCTCTTTGCTTAGTGTCTTGGGGTTTTACTTAAATTAAGAAGCAGTTCAGTTCTCCCCCGGGCTGTTTGTTTGACTTAGGACAAGTAACACAACCTCTCTGACTCTCTTTTCAGTGAGGGCAGTACACCCCCATCAGCTGAGGATGAGAATTAAATGGGGTAACTTAGGGAGTGTCCACCCAGTCTTTGATCCATGGTAGGCATTCAAGCCACTTGCGTACTAACGGGACCAGCAGAGAAGGTTGTACCCAGAATAACCAGGTAACCGAAGCTACAGGTTATTTTTCATCAGCCACATCTCATGTAGTCCTCACATTCTGAGGCAGATATTATTTTATGGAATTGGAAGCTTGGTCCCAGAGCAGTTAAATAATTGCTTGAGGTCACAGAACAGGGCCGTGGTCCAGGACCACCTCTGTCTGACTTGGCAGCCAGTGGTCTGAAGCCCACCTCTTAGCCTTGGCACTGCTGATACATGGGGCTGGATCCTTCTTTGTTGTGGAGTCTGTCCTGTGCAAGATGTGTGGCAGCGTCCCTGCCCTCTCCCTAGTACGATCCCCTCTCTCAGGGTGACAGCCAAGGATGTCTCCAGGCGTTGTCAGATTCTCCTAGGGGTCAAAACTGCCCCTGGTTAAAAACCACCTTCCTATGGTTATTAGCCTTTAAAAATTCCATTATACAGACTTAACAAAGTGTGTTTTAAGGGTTATCAATACTTTCGCAAATCTAGGGGACTTTGTCTTGTTACCTGCTAGATGGGGTTATAAGGGAAGGGAGGCTTCAGAGAACATGTGGATTTGAACTGCTTTGGAAGTTGGTCAGGGCTTCGATGGGTAGAGGAGGGTCTCCTGTGCATCAGCGCTTCAGGGATCAGAGGGTGTGTTAGGGCAACAGGCATAGACTGTCCTCAGTGGGAGGGAGCTTGATCTCAGATCGGGGAGGGCTTTGAAGAACTGCTTCGGACTTGAGTGTTGGGGTACTGGGGAGTCATTTAAGGTCTGGGGACTGGTTGGCAACACGTTTGAGAAAAATGGATGGCTTAGCTGGACGGAGGATGAATCTGAAGGATTGATGAGGTAAGAGACCCTGGAAATATGTAAGGTGCTGTGGACCTGCTCTGGGTTGGGATGAAGATGGTAACATAGGAAGACAGGAAACCAGACATTTGGAGGGAAAATTGTGAAGTTGTCACAGTTAGATATGGACCTGTCTGCTGCTGCTTAAATGTAGAAGCTTCTAGAGAATGGAGTCTGTCATAAGTGATTTTTATAATGTATCAGCTCTATGTTCTTAACTTATAAATATATGTAACTTACAATTATATATATTTGTGTTTGTTTCATTTAGTCTCATATAATGGCAGCAAAGGCCGTAGCAAATACAATGAAAACATCACTTGGACCAAATGGTAAGAGACTAACATTCTACTTTTTAACAGAAGTTAAGAAATGAAAGGGGAGTGTCCTTTTTGGTGTATTCTTGACTTTTATTTATAATAAATTCCCAGATAGGAACTGGGTCAAGAGGTCAAGGTAACTTTTT